GAATTAAGAACATAAGGGGTGGGTGATGCATCAGTCAAATGAAGAAATAGAAAATCTAATGTCTCAAAAAAGATTAATTTTCCAAACACGCACATTATTTCAAAACACATTTGTTGAGGCTAATGTCCTCAATATCTGACTCCAATAAATAATATCCCGTAAATCAAGATTATTGAGAAGCCTGAACACCAGTTGTGGAGATAATTTATTATTAATGATTTATAAAAATTCGCAAGCATACAGCAAGCAAGCACACGGTGAAGCCAAGTAGAAGTGATGCGCAGTGGAGATAGCTGGTAAACCAACTCCATTTTAGTCAAGCGTTACTCAATTTTTATAGCCAGAAAAAATAAAGCTACAGACATGTGATGAGACATGGGATAAGAAGTGTACACACATATACGCTCATATAAAAACAGTCAAGACTGATAAGCGAATAAGTGACAAGGTCAAAATATAACTCAAGTAGAATGAATAGAATGGAATGTCCGGAAGCTAGAATAAGGTATATGGGCTTAATATAATAACTGACACTACACATTAAAAAAGTATAATTTTAAACAATACAAGCGGTCGTACAGTGCCATTGCCAATTATTAAGAGATTACTCTGACGAATTTGAATAATGTAAGTAACAGATATGCGCTTCCATATTTGAAAGTCTTTCTATCATCATGATTGAGAAATTAATAAACCTCAATAAAGATTGCAGAGTTTTCAAATAGTTCTCGGAAAGCTCAACAGTTTAATTCATGATAAGGCAAGTAACATCTTATACGCATAACTATATGTGAGTTATTCTACAATGTTGCAACAAACTTTCTGTCTAATTAAAGATATACAATTTATTACCAATACTGTTTAATTTAGACCTAATATTTAAGAAAGTCCAGGCTGCTAAGCAAGAGTATTTTTCCAAAATATGATCATATAGGGTTTTGCTTCATTTTATCCAATTCAAAATAACAATCAAAACAATCTAACTCCGTGAATGCTTGAAATAAATAAGTGATATTGTGGTGCGTGCTACTTATATTGATATAAGTAGTATATAACATGAGTCAAAAGAACGTAATGTCTGGCAGCAGAAGACGGAGAAGATCAAGAAAAGAAGAGCGAGAAAACAATGGAATTTGTTAGAAACTGCATGAGCAATGAAATGCGAGACAATGGATTGATGTTTGCAACAGCAACAGCCCGGTTTGATATGATAGAATGATATTTTGCAAATTACCGATTTACTATATGGTTTTTCTATTTTACCAAGTAATTCTGTAATTTGTCCTAAATACAATTTGGCTGTCCTCACCCGTGTTCTTCTTCACTACAATATGATATGTTTTTTTTCACTTAATATCGTAAAGAAATTCAAGGATACTATACTATACATTTTTACTGTCTGATATGGAACTACTCACACTTGTTTTAGCCTAATAGTTGTGAACATTGAAATACCAACAAATAAACTATGTAGTGTAATCTATTTCTGTAGCAAACGCGAACAAAATTTATGGACAAACAAATGTACTTGAACATACAATTATAGAATTTCTTAGTAAAATCTGAGAACCATACAGTAAATACTTCATTTGCAAAATTTCGATCAATTGTTTCAGACTTTATCGTTCCTTTATTTCCATACCAATCACTCTATGTTCTTGTTCTCTTTTCTTTAATCTTCCCAACATTCTGCCGACAAGCATTCCGCTTTAGATTGGTAATACAAACTACTTATATCTGTCGACATCAGTAGCACACACCACATTTCCATTAAAAATTAACTCAGTGATTTAAAATGATAATTTCTTCGTATCTTTAAACAGTTGACTGTTTATATTTAGAAACAATACGATAAAACTGTAGCTACAATTATTTTGAACTTATGTGTTTTCTTTTAATCCTGTTCTCACTGTAGAATGCCATGTTTGACTATGTCTGATAGAGCACGTGAAAAGGAAAAACGTACGACTCGTTTTGATCCCACTTTTATCCCGGTAAGTTGAATGTCATCACTTAGGTGGAGTTATTGATTTTGAAATAATATACTGAAATGATACGGTCAATAAACACTTGTTCTAATAAATAGATGGATACGGAAGAAAACCTAAAACCTCAACTAAGTAAATAACAAAGATAGAATCAATACTGAATTGGATAAATTATTCTTTACGGAATTAAACTATCGTTCGACTAGTTTTATCTTTTGATTATTGTATGCATGATCAGATATTTACATTTGTAAACTTAACCTGATAATTGCAAAAACAATTACTCTACCAATATTGTTTTCAATAGTAAACGAAATTTTGCACTGCAGTTGCAGTAAAATCCTAGAATTGTAATGAAATTAATTGTTGAATACCCAACCTACACTGAAAATACACGAGATCCATACAATCATCCATCTGGAAAGCTTCCAGGTTGCCCACACCGTGGAAAGGTTCTTCTGGAGGTACCTGAAAAGGGAATTGGATTAGAGGTGGTCTTAGTGACCTGAGAGCGTAACCGCAGTGCCCAAGGGACAACTTCTTGAGGTCGGTCACACACCGCCTGGTCCTACGTTGTAGCTGACTGACAATTCTTATCATGTTTTTTTGTTAGATAGAATTTATGTTAATTTCGATATTACAGAGCACTTGTATTTTTATTTAAGTGAATGATTTCTAATGTAGATGAGTCGTATTTTTCCAAATATCATACCATACCTTAAAACCATGTAACTTCTATAAACAATTATAATGTTAAGAACATTAAATATTATTTTGTTTCCAAATAAAAACTCGTTATCAGTTAGATTTATTTATTAAGTTATAGTTTGGGAACAAATATCCTTGTTACTTTATAACTTACTCTACTATTATGATATTTTAACTTACATTCATCTATATGCAAAATTTCTCTTGAAAAGATAAACAATGTAAACCGATTCTATCCAATTTTCTAACTGGGATTAGATACATTAAGAACTAGTGAAATTAGTTTATTCTGTAGCAAACGTGAACAAAATTTATGGACAAGCAAATGTACTTGAACATACAATTATAGAATTTCTTAGTAAAATCTAATGTTGTTTTACTTATGATTAATGGTGGAAAACATTAAGTATAAAAATCGACAAACATTTACTTTAGTTGTTTCGTTAAAACTTATAGTTGTCTTTCAGACAAATAACCTCGTAATCTATATTATAAACTAATTAATAAACAATCATTTTATAGTCGAGAAAATAATTTATTCAATTAATGTTCCAGCTGAAAATATCTTAACATTTCTTAATGAAGAAGAACTATTTTCTTGAAAAGATAAACAATGTAAACCGATTCTATTCAACTTTCCAACTGGAATTAGATACATTAAGAACTATTGAGATTAGTTTATTCTTATAGATTGTGTTACAGAACTTTCAGGTTTAAATCAATGGCTTAAAAGTATACATTAATCAACTTCGTACTTAAATGCAACATATACACTAATACGGGTACAGAGCGCATATTTGGTTGTTGAATCAAGATTCCAGTTGTTCGATTTTGTATACTTCTTAGATAAATTCCGTTGTATCATCAAATACACTTGAAAACGCTACACCAAAAGTTCGATATATGCTTTTGAGAATGATCTGTTTCAGATAGTTTTGCTCAACAAATTAAAGGCTGAAAAGATAAGGATTGGAAGAAATGTGAATATGTAAATGAAAAATTTATATGTAAATAAAATAAAAATAACCTGAAGATTCTGTGCAATGATATGCTCATACAGATGTACACATAGGTAGTAGTGTATATATGTAGAAGTCTATAATTAATCATACAAACAAGTTCAAATAACTAGTAGCAACAAGACGATATATTTATTTTCCATATGATTGTCTCACACAACTTCATATGTGGGTCTATACTAACTTTTCACTTAAATTCATGTTCTAATTGCGAGCTTAAGCAGAAATACCGTTCTCAATTTTCAAGGTGGATAAACTGAAACTACCATATTATAAATCAAAACGTAAATATTTAATACTGTTTATTAAAACGATACGTATAATCATTGTATTTTCTTTATTTTAAAAATCTAGGGATATTCTACTGGTTTAAGTATTATAAACTCTGAACAGAATGCTGAATTACGAGGTCGGATTAAATCATTACTGTTACGAACAAAACGCAGTGGATAAATATCTACTCTTTCAGTGTTTCATTTTATCATGGTCATAACTATATAGGACTTCAATGAAATTGTAATATGAAATATTAATTAGATAACAATTTACCTTTAATAAAGCTTGCTATAAAATTATTATTTTTTGTATTTATGTTAAGAAATCACGTTATTGGAAGATTTCCTGTGTGTATTATTGGTTAATGAAACAACAGGATTTTAACCAAATAGTATGAAATTAGAAATGATTTGATTAGTTACGTGGGATCTATGGAATAAACATACTCTGAATAAGATAAACAACAACTAACTACTCCAAATAAATGAATCAATAAAAATTACTTAATAGACACCTAGTTAAGAATTCTGTAAAGTTTAACATTACACTCAACCGTTGGATGCCGGCTCAGTGATCTAGTTGGTTAAGCGCCTGGTGCAAGACTGATAGGTCCTGGGTTCGAATCTCGTGGGGTGCGGGATCGTGGATGCGCATTGCTGAGGAGTCTCACAGTAGGACGAAATGGCCATACAGTGCTCCCAGGTTTTCTATGGTGGTCTAGCTTCAATTGACCCATGATTTCAACCAGTGAAATTTTTAAGAGATATGTTTTGAAAAATAATTTTTAGATTTTTGTTAAGAAGAGATGTAGTTAGACATCCAGTCAATAAAATATAGATAAGTGATCACATTTGATATAGAAACTTATGAAATATATTCTATGAAGTAATCGGTAGAATTGATTGTAAGTATATAACCAATCGGGAATGTAGCTTGTATTTTAGATTAAGAAATAGAGTTATACTTCGGCTTATATAAAGTCTATTATTATCACATATAAGATGATGACCTAGTAGATAAAAAATGTTTAACAAAAATATGAACATGCCGAAAATTAACATAGTTCACGAGAAACAATACTACTGCATGTAACATTTGCGGAATCAAATGAAGTTATTTTACTTTAAAGTTCCTCATCAAGACCAGGCACTATAAGGCATTCCATATAATTAACAATGAGCAAGCGTCACTCGGACTTCATTTTGCAAAGGTTACTGGCATTAAACTACTCTGACAGAAAACCGAGATCAGTCTTCCTTTGTCATGATAAGTATAACTGCACACAGATAATCTTGTTACATTCCCACACTTCAACCTTTCCGTCAATATTCACTCATTAATTTGATTCCAACCCTTATTCATGTCAATTGATGATGCATCCACTTACTCTTACTATGATTATGTAATCCCACATTTTTATTATAATTTTTAGTAAATAAATGCTTACCTCACCTATTCTTAGTCATTTACTCTTTTATGTATTCAACCGTCCCTTTCGACTTCAATTAATATATCTTGAACCTTTTACTTCTTATGATTTCCCGTCACGCATCAAATCTTCAACTCAGCATCATTAACCAAAGTATGTCAAACCATTGCTTATCATCATATTATTGTTTATGACATTATGTTGTTTACAGCTGACGAGGTCTTGAGGTAGGTTGAATTCATTTTCTCCTGAGAATTCTGCCCGCTCTTTATACAGGAATTCACCAGTTCATACATTAAGCAGTAGCACAACAATTTAGAAACTGAGGACTATTGATGCTAGCCCAAATCAATATCATTGCCAAAATAAGTTACTATTGCTATTTGCGCATCTGAAATCTGTTCCGATTGATTATTTTCTTGTAAAATACCATACTACCTTTTTTGGAGACATAAAAGCTCTCTGGTATTGTCCTGTCTTTGTTTTTACTTATATAGGGTATACAACGATGAAATGTTGTTGTGCATTAGTCGTTGATGTATCTAATTAAGTTACATCCAATATTGCAATCCCTTTGTTCGTATGTCTGGTTACGCCAGTTACCAAAATACAACAAGGATAAATTGTGCTACACAATGACCACCTAAATTGAAGCACTTATAGTTAACAGTTGACAACCTGAGGATTATAGTCATAAACTCATTGAAGATTATAAGACTTAATGTACACCTATACTTGACAACCAAAGTGAAGATTTAATATGACAGAATAGATAATAATAATAAGAAAATATCCACTTGGATGTACAGGATTTATTTTCCAATGAATTTATTGTCAACATCATGAAGAGGAAGAAGAATAAAACTGTACTACTTTTCAAAAGTATTCATAACTTCCTTATAATCAAGAGCTGAGTTTTTATACTCGGTTATCTATGTAAAATTGTACATATTATTATATATGAAAAGTGAATTTATTTTTATTTTTCATTTATTAAAAAAAACCCATTCTGAAACATGTCCAAATGAAGATTTAAAACTGAATGAATGTTTGGAGTGATTTTCAAAGAAAATAATTGTAAATTGGTAATGTCAATCTATATGTTTCCTAATATGTGAGCTATTGAAAACAAAGAAGGTACATGCACATACATGCAATAATAATAAACAAATATATTATCATTATTACTATTGTACATGATTGATCATATTCTAGAAAATAATTCGCTTCGTATATACTTGACCTGAACTGTAACGTAATAAAACAGAGTTTTTGCTGCTGCTGCAAAGAAAAAAAGAAATACTTATTGGACAAAATAAATAGACTAGAATTTTATTATTGTGCATTAAGGAAAAAAAGAATCCATTTAATGATAAAAGGCCTCTGTGGTGCTTGTAATGGAGTAAATAAAGATAGTTTAAAATAGACAGAGGGAAAAAAAAGAGCAAGGGAAAAAATGAAGGAAGCATAGGAAAGTTTGATAAAAATGTAAAAGTCTGATGGAATAAACAAAACGTGCCTGAAAAAGACTTTAAAAAAACAAGTAAATATTTACATAATTGAACTGGAAGACAATGTGTAATGAAGTAGAGAGGATATAGAAAACAGAAAATAGTATGTAATCAATTAATCTGCTCATTTCTTGACAAAAATAAATAAGAATATGATCACAATGCAGTGCAGTTGATATATCATTATTGATGTGATGATGATGGTGACAAACCAGTAGGAGACATTGATGAAGAACTAGACGGAGAAAGTGTGCCAAATCCACGCCATTTCCATGAAGAAAGTGGATGATTTTTAATTTTTTCTTTACGCTGTTGTTGTTGTTGTTCTGCTTTAATACGAGCTTTTTCCATTTTAGCTAATCTTTTTTGTTGAGCAAGTTCAGCTTTTTTAGCTTTAAAATTAGAAAACGATTTGAATATAGAAGGAATCTTATTAGAAGTATTTGATATTCCAGAGATTTTATTTGATGGTACACGAGGTAATGTGGATACAGCATCAGAAAGTTGACTGTGTTTAATTGTATTACGATTGAGTGTTGCCTCTGGAGATGAACAAGAATCTGGTGAGTTTGAAACTCCTGGTAAAGTCGACTTTTCATCTAATAAGAAAAATATTGAAAAAAAATTGTTCGGTAGATATATATTTCATATACACAATTTTTGGTGAATGTGTACGTGTGTGCAACAAATCACTTGCAAATATTTCAAATCTATATAATTCACTTCAAACACAAGAATTCGTTTGGACCTAAAGATGTTACACTATCAAGAAAAGTACCAATACTAAAACAAACGTAATTACAAGTAGATTGGATTATTTTGACATCTATGATAGACTAATATACAATGATTAAACTTTAAAAATTTACAGTGTAAATGACAGTGTTGACTGTCATGTGACTGATCTGAGAGCTAAAACATAAGGTTTTTAAAGATGTTAATTAATTGGGCTAATTAAAATAGGAGAACGAAAAATTCACAAAAAATTCAGAGGCATCAGAGATATGTAGGTAAACTGTGAGATCAACCTGAAAAAACGTTCTTGTATCCTCATTTAATAAAGTAACGAAATAAAGTACAGTATCGATTAATACAAATATCTAAACTAAATCTGATGGATAATTCACTAAGTAATTATTTAAAAATATGGAGAGTTTGATTAGTGTTAGATTTCTATGATGAAACCAGTGCATTATTCTAGGTTTTACGAATTATGTACAGTAGAGCACTAACATTTTGCTCCGGTGTATAAGCATAATGTGTGTAGATAATATATGAAGAGTGGATGTATTTGTAGACAAGTGAATTTACCTATGTAATAACTTAGCTAGCAGGTGATCTATTAGTATGTTATGGTCTTAACGCTAACAAATTATGGTTCAATAGGTGTATGTAATCTTAACAAATAAAAAAGTATTCTGATATAAATTAGGAATGTGATGATTGTATCAAAGTGTTCAACAACAGGGTTCGATTCAAAATATTTTGAAAAAAAAACAACTGGATGGGAGCTTAAAACTTTGGTGATATATCTGTAATCTGTCATGTATTGGCAAGAAAGAAAAAAGCAAGAGGCTCGTGAAAAACTAAACTTTTTGAAGAGAAAACGGGCTATATGAAGATTATTTTTAGTATTATAACCACATGAATACGTGATTTATTTAAGCAAAAATTAACAAACTTATGTAAGAGTTGGATCAATAAACCTTTTATACATAAATGTAAGGTTGAAATACTAATGGGTGACTAGTTGCAGATTTGAACATATATAAGGGTTTTTATTAATGTTTTCGAAATCCTGGACTGCAATTGATCAGTCTTTGTTGACATGATGTTATCCTGAGAAAAGACCTTTATATAGCCTCTCTGTTACAAGCTCCAATATACGTAGATTGTGACTAGCAGTGGAATACAGGAATGCCAACGAAGAAATACAAATCCTGAAGAACAAACTTCATACGTAACCTATTGAACACGTTAGTGATTAACTAAACTAAGTATTTCATTAGGGTTTGGAGCAATCAATATAACGTTCGAATTTCTATACAAACAATAATTCTAAGATGTAGGTAAATCCAGCCAGTGTAACGCAAATAGAACGAGAAGTGCAGTCCGGATTCCGCTATTAGTTACAATTCAAATATACTCAAATATGAGCTCTAATAAATCATTTAATTAAAGATACCGGATATATGAAATTCAGAAGGTATTTTTAAAGTATGTATTTCGGAAAAATTACAATTGAAACGAAGAATCTTTCCATGCAGTGACTTTGACAGAGTATCTTACAATATTATTATTATTATTTGAACACATAGACATTGGTACAAGGAAGCACCAAATACATATGCGTCACACAAATCTCATTTGACATGTGTGAGGGTTATGATACTGCCCGGGTGCCCAAACCGAACCAAGTGTTCTTCTTAGGGGGTCACACCCGGAGCCTTTGACCAAAAGGTCTAATCCATAAGGCAGTGGAGCAATATTATGCAGTCCTACGGTAGTCGGTGACCAATAATTGGTTCATACACCATTTGTTCCTTTAGGATACTAGAGCCCATGTGCACCATTGGTTTTGAATCAGGGTTTTCCAACTCCCCTAGGTAAACTCTCCGTGTCCACCAACCCGGTTAAAGCGCCGGACATTCGCTTTTCGTTCTCTCAATTTCGTAAACAACACCCGTGGTGCAAGAAGGCAATGAGTAGGACTTCCGTGGTAGTGGTTGTATGCAAGTGGCCATGTGAGAGCATTTCGAGAGTGAGAACGAATTTTCCCCACTCTCGGCTGTACGAGGGCATTTGGGGAGAAAATGGCCTACAATATTACGATCTTCCTGTACTTATTAATTTAATACACATAAATTCTGGTACAGCTAGGCAATTAAAATAAATATTCCCCACACGAATAAGGAAATGAATTTTTGGAGCGACATAGAGAGGTGGAGGATGATTAAAAATAAATGAATAAAAGTCGGAAGTAGTGTTTACTGGGGGACTGTTTGAATATCTGGGATACCTGTTCCTGCCATCTCGATATTTCAAAAAGTTAACTGTTTTTGAGCGTCTATGAAAATTTCACAACGTTTTACTGTATAACTTACAAAAAAATACAATCAGAGACAGTATGCATTGAAAAGAATGAACATTGTTCAGATGTCGATACCTGAAGTGCTAACATTTAACTGGCGACCACAAATTGGCAAGGTTGACTGTTTTCAATTCCTATTAAGTCTAAGGATGTGTCGTAATTGTGGTGTAGTCACAATTCAAGAATCCTGGTTAAATGATTTACAAAAAAATTTCTCAGTATCACTACAAGATTTTAATATCTATCATTAGTATCGATCAAGAAAGGGAAATTCGCTGAAACACTGTGCTGAGAATCCTATGTTGTACCAAAAATAGAATATTGAATGAAGTCATTATTAATAATAATAATAGTTCAGTTGAAAATACATCAGAGAAGACTTTCAATTAAGAGAGTCCGAACCACATTTTATGAAGAATGTAAAAGAAAATTAAGGCAGGATTACCATTAGTTTTTGTTTTGAGTTATGTCTAATAACTTCTAAAGCCACCGAGATGCACCGTATCTAAGACCTGAACCAGCGAGTCAAGATAGACCCACAGATCCTAGTCCTATACAACTTCCTTTGATACCTCGGCACCATATAATAAACTGACCGCCTTTCTGCTTTATCCACTCGAGCCCCAAATTGGCAAATAGAGATATGGAAATCTCTGGAATAAATAAATACGACATGCCCCAGCTACTGAAACTGGTGTTTCAAGATGGTGACACCAGTTACATTGTGATTATTGAGCTGGAACGCAAATTGCCGAACCTCAGAATTACTAATGTGGTGTTGTCGCTGGATGTCAGCAACCCTTTGGAGACAACGATTATCAAACACAGAAAGTCGTTGAACATAACCAACTCAGAGAGAACAGATTTTCCGAGTATATAGCATAACTGCTCATAAAGATTGCTACGTTTAAAGAGATAACGATATCACCTAAAACCGGCGAACGGTCAGTAATACAACAGAACAAGCAAAACAATTACACTGCTCTCAGTCCTACTAAATAGAGGGAGAAGACCAGATTCAGCCGAAGGAAATGTATATTTCACAAGCAGTCGGAAGCATGAACGAACAAGCAACCTGCAAAAATGTTCTTAGAAAACTTTACAAAATGGCGTACTAAAAGAGGAAACAAACCGGTGACATTTAAGGTCCTTCTAAGCGGGAAATACAAACTGAAGGTAAAAAAGGACGCTTTTCATGAGTAACTGAGAAATTCAAATTTCCAAAATAAAATTACAATAATAAGAGGTTTACCAAGTGGTTTATGGGGACCTAGCACCCCCAACCACGACACGTTATAAACCCGGAGTTTTACAACCAAACCAACATCAAGATAACCTTAAAAATAGCCCAGATTGGTATAATTCACTCTAACTTTTAATTTCATCTTCGACGCCATTATCAGAACTCATACAACGACCCAGATGTACGAAAGTTTCAACTACATCTAACGGATCGGTTCAGAGGTTGAGTACAATTACATGTTCTTCTCGTCTTTGAGCTGGACGTTTTATTTGGTGGTTAATAATACTACTACTAATATCCGGTTTTCCAAACTAGGTACGTAAAACAAGAACATATTTTGAAGTTGAATGGATAACCAACTAAGTTGCTACTAACCTAATAGTAAAGTTGTTTATGTCATGATACTTTAATGTTCATGCAAAGTACACACAAATCAGAGCTAATGTAACATACTAAGACCATTTAAATATCCTTTATGATCTGTATTATATTTCACTTTTAGAAGTGGAAAGTAGAGATATCCTCTCTTTCCTCCAGTTCATGAGATATCCTAAAATATTTTTAAACATGATCAATCTATTTAAAATTACAAATTAAAGATATGTGAAAGGATAAAATGATTCTCGAAAGTTCGGATGAACGAAGATGAACAAATTTTAAAATGATATCTCTTATTGATATATATCAACTGAACACTTCACACTAATATTATTTTTATCCGTTTTAATAAAAAAAAAACAATCGGTACAAATAAACTCACAAAGTTGCAACATATACAGACAAGCTTTAACAGGGACACCCTGATTTTTATATTACTTGTTCGGTTTATGGAACATCACAATAACGAGAATTTTCAGGATATCAATGTAAACCATGACCGATGTTCTGTTTATACTTAATGTCAGCAGAACAAGTTAAGAAATGAAATACTTTAGGTGCGTAAATTCAATGTGTGCATATATGTGTGTGTGCATTTCAGTTGCGTAGGAGTGATATAGCTTACCAAATCAATAACCATAAGATTGATGAATATTTCCCTTTTGTCTAAAACCGAACACTATGCAAGCTAACAAAAGAAATGTTAAAATTAGCATAGAAACAATACTGTAAATTGTCAATTGGTTCTACACACACAATATATGTTACATTGATAGCTAAGAAAGTGGGAAATATAAACTTTAAAGAAAATATCTTATCATCATTATTAGCGCCCTTTTTCATATCATGATTTTTTGAACAAATTTCAATGGTCTACAAACAATCAATAAATTGTGCCGAAATAAGATAGAATAAATCCATCTGAGAGTGCAAACAAATCTCTAACAGCATGAAACCAAAAACAATAATATCCTATCTTCACATACAAAAAGTATGTAACAAAAATTAAAATGTTACGAAATCTAAGACATCATTGATTTCAAACCAACAACGGCATGAATAATTCAAAACATGAAATACCATATCTAACACTAACCATAAAATGATGGATTACAATAAAAACATTGAATGATAAGTAGAGGAATCTTTTGTTTTAACGAATTAAGATGTCTTATATTTTTTTTCATTCTTCCTGTTGAGTTTGTGGCCGACGAAATCTCAACGTGGATACGAAATCACTCTATTCCTTTTGTAACACCTGCGGCACAGGCTAAATGTTCATCTGTGAGTATACTCCACAGTAATTTGCTTAATATTTCTTAGAGATTGGGAACTTTAAGAAATGAATAAGCTGTTAGTAAGCGATCACAGTTGTCATCAAGGTACTGAAAGTATATGGTGAAATTACCAGATAAGTAGCTCAGACTTTAAATTTAGGGTTCCAGGTAAAAATGGCAAATCTACTGACGAAGTTGTAAACGTTCATCGGTCAGGATGGTTGTGAGATGTGTTGCATGTCCCCAGTTAACATCCATTCAGGCATGCTATGTTGCCTAATATAAGGATGGTTAAAAGGAGGACTAAGAGAAATCAGAAGAAAACCCGGTCTCCATCCAAGAAGAGATTGAATAATGATCTGAGCCGTTTGGTGATATATAGAGAACAACCACGTAATTGAAGTTCATGATTGAAGAACTTAGGTGATGTGGTTTAAAGGCAATTCCTATATGACCCAAAACGACAACATAACGGAAGACTCTTCGAGATCGTTTACCCATGCTTTTACTCTTCTCACAGCTATAAGTATAGTAACTTTTCAACTAGTTCTACATAAATCAAGTATCGTATGTGGAAACCGAATGATCACTTCAAAAGGATTAGTTTTAAAACGAGTATTCCATATGATCTGCGAAAATTCATTATTTAACATATAATACATTGATTTGATCTTGATTAAACGATTCCATTGAATCAATACTTCCAAGCAAAAAGCGCTAAACAAATTTCGCTATCGTTCATTATAATCAACACAGTTACAACCGTACAAAAAACGCATTGTTTGGAAGTTCACTCGGATAGTCTCGATGTAGTTGAAATGAAAACTGCCATAGACAATATTATCATCATTATTATTCTGTATGGAAGACATTTTTATCAATTAAAAGATTTCATAATCAAAGTAATGTACTTGTATATTAACGAAATCATTAACAAAAATTATAAACATGGAAGCCGTAGATGCGTATTCATACTCAAATTAGTCGTACTCTGCTATCACTGAGTATTAATTATTATTATTATTTAGACAGATTTCATCCTAATGTTTTCCGGTTTCTTTCATTTAAGCTAATGTGACCAAGTGAATCATTGTGCGGTTTGAGTCACCTATTTCTATGACTGCAAATAATGTAATAAACACTGTTGCGAATACTTCCAAAAAATGTTTTTCAGTCATTAAAATTTGAATGCATGATATGCGGAAATATTTTGCAATATTGCACAGTTGGTGCTGAAAATTCTTTACAGTAACAAATCTTATGGTACTGGATACGTCTGTTATTTATTATTATTATTATTATTATTATTATTAAAAACAAGCTAATAATCATACCCTTATTATGATATACAATCTCAATGATGTTTAATACATCTGTTTGTCGTTGGTAATCTTTCTTAACCGAGAAATTTTTTTGACGGTAAGAATAATTCAACGTTTAATATAAAGTAGATATACTACTCAGTAAATCAAATTTTATCAAATAGGTTATTAGTAAACAATAAACATAAGAAATTTAACTGAATCTAACCGTTTAAATCTATCTGTTTGTTTGTTTTACGAAATAATGTTGGCGAAACCGGTGCAGACAATGAATCCATACAAGAATAGGCATTAAATTCCAAATTTTCATCGCATGATTGTTTAGTTATCGCTTCATTTTCATATCGTTCAGCAATTACAGTGGTTACATCCGAATTAACAGAATTGAATTGACAATTGAATGATTTGTCTAAAGATTTAAATTTATTATTATGTAGTTCCATTAAACGTTTTATTTCTTTCCTGCGTATTTCATATTTCATTTCAATACGTCTACGATAATCACTTTCTTCACGATTCAATATTCCCAAAAATGTATACAATTCTGATAAACTAAATGTGGTCCACTAAGAATGGAAAAAAAACAAAGTAGAGGCATTATCTTGTAATATATATACTATGATGAGCTGAGTTTAATATCCCTTCTCAGTAAAAACGTAATCGTATAAACAACTTGATGGAACTGTATACTAACTTGAGATTAGTGGCGATGAAATATTAAGCTACAGCTTTTGTGATGTTATGCTTTAAATGATAACTAATGTGTCATTAAAGGCTCTAGTATCAACCAGAGCTTTCAATCAGCAAGTTGCGGATTTAAATTAAGCTCCATCTATTTATATATCGGGTAAGTAATATCAGTGGCAGTCAGATGAGTAGTGTGGCTCAAGGCAAAGTACATAGCTACCTACTTGGTATAGGAGTTACATAATACTTCAAACCTTGGTGAAGATATGGTCAATAGGTTAGGGGACGCAAGTTCCAGTTACTAAGTCCCATATTTAAACCCCATTCAACTTGGGCTTGAGATAATTTATGGTAACACTAACCTCCATGTGAAAAGTATGACTTGAAACAGAGTATTTGGAGGTGTACTTAGTAAATACGTTCCACTAACAATCCTACCATAGTATACATTTGTATATGAGAATGCAGTATTTTCTTGTCCAGTTCCGACTGCAAACCTTGGTTTAAAAAATGACCAGAAAATAGTATCTAATGTAACACCTCAGGGAAAATATTATCTTACTGCACTGTTCACATTTTCATTCATCACCACCTCAAAGATATTACAGAGCTTATACCTGAATTCCAATAAACGTTATCAGTTAAAAATTAAATCCAGATACTTTTTTACATGAAAGTTCTTAGTATTTGAATGCAACGAGCACAATATATCTATCCACAAACAGTAGAAAATTTTATGCTTTTAATTGTCTCGTAAAAACAATACAGTGATATTACGAATATTCGTCAAGATTAGAACGTATAGTTTGACAGAAATTGGGCACCGAGTATAGAGAATTCATTATATGTGAAAATTATATTTGAAATAATCTCAGGGATTGAAATTTAAATTTAATTTTGATTATTACCCTGAAGAAGTCCAGACAAGTTAGCTGGACGAAACGTTGGAATTATTTGAATTTCAATCGCTGAGATCATTTCAAATATAATTTTCACATATAGTACAGTGATAGTCTGATAACAAGCACATTTATCCCAAAAGTTTATAAATCCCATTTAAAAATACCCAATCAGTCTATAAACACTAAAACAACTTGTAAACTAAATATAGGCTTATTCAAAGTGTCCAAATCAGCTAATTAATAAAATACATGTACACAACAAACATGAAGTTATTGACATATTTTCTGAGTTGCATTTATTTTATTATCACATATAAGTACAATTGTTTGCATTGAGCATATTTTCAATGAGAAATTTTCTTAATGAAAAGTTATTGTTAGGATGTTGAATTGTAATTTGTAAAAAAAATAATGATTGAAATCTTGGATGCCTAAGCAAATCTACTTGAGGTAGTATAAATTTTGAAGCCTTCTCAAAAGTCATTGATATTTAATGATTCAATAATGTTTTTATAGTTGATTTATCAATAAAGTAAATTGCTCAAATTATTACGAATTTGTCACAAAACAGTTAGAACTTAATACGTATATTTTTAATACATCGAGCTATCCGTTTAACTGAGATATTTAATTGATATAAATGGACCACCTCCAAGCTACAAACAGCTTTCTGTGAAATTTCTGAAATAACAAAGATGAACGTATTTAGGTTAAAGCCAAGCTGATAAATAACTTGAACAGACAGGCAGCACACATTAAAAGGATTTGTCTTGATAGAAGATTTGACAGTGTGCTCGAAAAAATATTGTAATCAAATAGGAAATAAAACCTGTGTGTACCGTCGTAACATATTGAAATTAATTACCATGTACAGGTTATTATTATACAAGGTTTTGAGCTACATAATTTGCTGACGAAGGGTCAGGATGCTTGCTGTCTCGTTCTACAAATCGAAGTAAGTGGGGGTAGCGGACGTACGTGAAATGCAGCGGTTAATCGTCATGTTCTGTAACCATTGAGGCAGTGATGTCTCGTAGGTAGATATACTATGGATAATGATTATTTGTCTTTTTTAGATGATTGGTAAGCCTCACCTGTAACCATTCTAGGGTCACTACCGGTCCCAAGCCCGGACAAAGGAGGAGTGTCAAGCATGGGGTCAGCAACATCATCCCTCAGAAAAAAAAATTGCTGAAAAAAACACTAACCAGAGAAACCCTGGTCGACAGGCTGTACTCTCACGAGGGGTGGGTAACAGGCGTAAGTAAGCAGGATGATTGATAACACACAAGTAATAAATAACTTACTTCAATATCACCAGTTTCATTCTCTTGTAATACTAATCGCTTCACACTCAGAATGTTGTTAAAATTACTTGGATCTTGATCGACCCACTTGAATAGTAACCCCAACGGTGATTCATTATCAAATAATTTTCGTACAGAAACTAAAGGATAAAAGAGAAGTTGAATGTAATCAAAATTGTCTTCAATTACATTTATAATCTTTAAAGAGTGGAGATAGTTAATGCTCAATGGAAATTTGATTGAAAGAGAAGAAACTAATATGAGGAAAAGTTTATAACTGGAACACATTAAGTAAGAAAAGGTTTAATGTAAGCAGTTTTGGGACTACACACACACTTTGTACAAAAGATAATCAAACTACTCAATCATCTAAACCGAAATCGATGGAACAATGAGTTCAGATTAGTATAATTACTATAAGCTAAGAGATAAGCAGGTAACATGGATACGCAGATTGATCACCGAGTAATCAACAATATTATGCTTCTTTAATCCTTCGTGAAGATTAAGTTCGATCGTCCAATTTTTAATGTAGTCATTAGTCTAGGTAACTCGAAATCCTGTTCACTATTTTTCAATGCTAGACAGAGTCAAATGGTAATTGTAACCTAGTAACCTAATTTGAATGTTTATAAGGTTGAACAAAAAGAAAATATGGATCATGTACGTTAATCTAATAAGAGTAACACTTGTAAAATATTATGAGTTCATGCATAAATACACATGTAAATCAAAGTTATGCAACAATTTAAGCCTCCGGTAAACAATTGTAACAAGCTAAATGGTTGTCTTTTGCATATAATGTAAAGGTTACTAGACAAATATGGAATTGAAGTATCAAACAGAAGTGATATTTTATACAATAATCTATGCCATAAACATGGATTATGATAATAACATTCAGTCGGCAGACACACGGATACCTAAACAAACACTATCATGAAAAATACACTGGATTTGGAAGAAAAATGAACAAAAGTTAGCTAAGCACTGTTCGTAGAAGCAATAAAAACGATTGGTGCAGTTAAAATTTAAACTAAAAATCCTATTTAACAGGTTAACAATCTAATAGCTCATTAGAATTTTCATCGATTAGAATTTTTAGACAAATCAGAATTAGTCTATACTTTAGTCGAAGTAGCGGTAACTTCCAAATATTAAGCTGCGGGTTCGAATCTCTCACAGTTTTAAATCCTATACACCATTTTTTTTCTGCGGTTTATTAAAAACCAAGATAAACCTAGCTGCCTAGTGGAACTAATTTTTATGATGATCCCGGAACAAAAATTGGAATAGGAAATTTAGAACAAAGCCTAAAGGTCATGACTCAATATAGTTCAGTGTTAAATTTGTTGAATTCGTTAGCTGATAAGTAGAATTTTTTTACAATCTTTGTAAGTAACCTAGCACTGCTGTGATACAATAGTTTCAAAGATATTACTCCTGAGACTGATTGAAAACAAATATAGGTCCATTTATTCCATTGCACATTTAATCCATTAATAGAAAATTTAAGAAAGTAGGTTACAAGCTATTTATCTAAACTCTGAAATAGGTGAATTAATTTGCAAAATGTTGTCATCAAGAAAAAACATGATACAGAGGACGATTAAAAACTATAGAACACTGTGTGGTTAGTCATTTCCCGATTTTAGGATCTATAGGAATGACTAATTTTAGCTTAAGAACAACACTGAATCCAGGATTTATAGGTTTCACAATAAGCATTCTGTGCTTGGATTACTGCTAAAATCCACTGACTTCATCTAAATCGTGATATAGTAAAGCCATTCAATGTAATTCATGTACAATGTTAAATATGTGGGAAACTCCTCTTGTTAATAAACAATCGAGACAAAATTGTCAAGTCCAATATGAACAGTGCAAGTGTAGCGAGTGTTTACTTTACTGACCTACTGTGTGTTCATCCCTAGCCCCCTCAGCAATAAGAATAATATCAAAACACAACCAAGTGAAAAGCTAATACATAATTACAACCCAACACACTATGAATACCGTAAACTATGCTTCAACACTTTAATGATCTAATCATCTGTTTTAGAAAGACATATTAAAATATTACAATACATCACATGACATCGTTATAACTGACCTTTCTGATCACCTTCAATTGTGTGTTCATATAAAGCAAACTTTTGAGGATTATCTCGTATACCAAATCGATCAAGTAGTGCACAAATAACCATTTGTGCAGTTGTCGATCTATAGAATAAAATAAATGCACAAAAAATAAACTACTTTTTTTCCTTTTAAAGCAATTCACATCAGTACTTCACACACAGAGAAAGATAATCAACATACATCTATTTGAGCTATTTATCAATTAAAAAGCTCTTTTAAATAAAATCCATTGAAAATTAAATATATTTCAAATTAACAACTATGCGATATATCATCATTGAAATAGTGCTCTTTACTAACAAACTATTATATTGATTATCACTTTACACTAAACCAGTAGAAAAGAAGTATGAGTTTGTATATCAAATGATAAACAATGAAATCATTAAAATTAAATAAAAATATCACTTAAACTCGTCATGTTTATTAATTTATGAACAATAAATAGGTTGAAAGATAATGTATACATACACGTTAAAATTTTATAACTTATTTCTGCTAAAATTTGTGTACAAAATGAACTGAGTAGAACAAACTCATTTACCAAGTACAGATTAGTATGTATAAGCGAAGTAGGTGGAGAGGGATCCGAACTGACCACCTAATAGTTGAGATTTAAACGCCCTAAACACTAAGCTACCGCTCCATAAACCATAGAGAATTAAGCAATCAATTCTCCTAATTTATGTTTGGGACACTTTAACTGTATTTACCCACGAGTTCATATGGAACAGAAACTAGGATTCGCATATTCACGGTAAGCTCATATTGAATATATTACATGTCAAGAACAAAATATCAAGTTTCTACTTTACACTCATAGAACAGAAGTAACTTACAGTCGAACATGCAACAATTTTGTGCTTCCTCTTGGTAACCGAAAAGTAGATACTGTTGAAGTTGTTCTACCTAACCGACGATGTGACTCAACAATATTTCCATCAGCTTTATGCACTTTATTATTTGGTGAAAAATATGGAATGTTGGCTGATACAAAGGAATGTGGTGTATTAGAAGGGTGTTGTTTCGAAACAAGATGGCAGTTATTATTGTTGTCGCCTTGGACCAACCAAAGATTCTGATCATCTTCAGATCGATCACTAACATCTGCCCCATCGTCATCTTCATTATCATCATCATCATCATCTGTTTCATCACTTTTTGCACCAACTACGTCGAAAATGGAAGCTGGTCTAGCTGTAAGTAACATTTGAATAGGGCGGAGTAAGTTTATATGTACACGAACTTGACCTTCGCAATCACATGAATCAGCACCAGTTAGCTGTAAACGGAAAAATATAATAACCCTGTAGTAAACAGAACACTGGAAATACACAGGATAAACATTAAAGTTGACGAACTATCTTCGACCACTTTATTTATTTGAACACATAAATATTGGTACAAAGGGGGCACCGAATACATATGCGCCACACAAGTCACTTGATTTGTATGTAGGCTGTGGTACTGCCGGGTGCCAAACCGAAGCAGGTGGTCCCCTTAGGGGGCCATCTCCTGAGTCTTTGACCTAAAGGTCTGATCCACAAGTCAGTGGAGCAACTTCAGGAGATGCAGTCCCATGGTAACCTGTGACCAACGATTAATCCATACGCCGTATGGCAACTTGGACCGATGCATAAATGTGCCGGATCCTAAGTTGCAGCTGACTGACTGACTCAGGATACTGGAGTCATGTGCACCATTGGTCCAAACAATTCATCTGGCAACCGAGTTTGAGGCTCCATAGTAAATTTGAGAACTATCTCACTTCAATTGTTAAAGCCTTCAGAAATATGATTGATATCTAATGTTTTCCATAAACCCAGTAACAAATATCAGATCATTCGACCAAAGGCTCAGATAAAAAGAGTGTAACCGTTAAATTTACCTCTACATTCAAAAAGACGGTTACAATTCTTCATCAAATTAGATGGAATGATATAATTTACGCAGGAAAACCATATTAGGTTTAGTGTTTGAATAAATAAACAGTCTGACATGCAATCTACACTGCAAGTACATTATTAAAGTGAGCTCATATCAATGAAATCATGGTAATCAATGCAACACATTTTCCAAGGACACATTTATCTGCTCGTCTTCAAGTAACTTCCCAATATGAAGGCTAGTGATACTACATAACAGACCAAACCAAAGGTAGAGGGAGCCGGATTCAAACCACTAAACTAATGAGTCAAAATCAAAGTGGCTTCATATACTAAGAAAAAATAATACTCGAGTGTTTAACATGGTCCAATAAGACTGATCACAAGAAGTGACATTGAAGTTGTTGTATTCATACACTTCACGATTACTGATGGATTGACAGCCAATATGATGAACAGGTAATTAACTGATCACAGTGCAAGTAATACACGAAATCGACTTTTTTCCACTCGTCTGTGATAGATAACTACATACCAGAAGGAAGTTATGATATAACTTAGTCTGTTAAGTCTATCTGCTGGTTACAGATGCTTAACAGTATAACATCATAAATATATGTTCACATAGTAAATTTTTGATTAATCGATACGACTCGTCAGAGTATACAAATCTGATAATTAATCTAACTGTAAATAAATCATATGAAAAGTGGTGTATTCATATATCATTTTGATCTATCTTGGGCGCAAAATATATTCTTATTTATGGTCCTTGTGTTTTACTTGAGTCGTTTGATTTACGGGTTTCCAGTTACCAGGTATCAAATCAGTTAAGTATCCCCGCTTATTCAACAAAAGCCCTTAAAACATAAATAATGCAAAACTACGAACCAAAAAAGATGATGTTCTCTTATTGTTATTACTAACCATAAAACTAATAATTTATAATCCCTTAAGTTTATCCTTTAATTGTCTGTGACTGCAAGAGTTCTTTAAAATCATAAATCTAAGTATTTCGATTAAACACGAGTGGATAGTCTGAAGGGATTAGAGCTCTTGAGCATTAACAGAATAGAACAAGGTAGAATATAGTCCAACACTACATTTACTCACGTTGCTACACTTTGCAAAGACACAAATAAAAAACGTTATTAGTCAACAGAATTAACCAGAAGGATATGAGTAAAAGGACAGTGTGTTTGCACAAGTTATCAAGTTACAGTAATCTCAACTGAAGTTCTCAATAATCGACTAATAACAGCAAGCCAGAAAGTTTACAATTCCTAGGTCAATATTTAGAAACATTGTTAGCTGGTATAATCACTCGGAGACTAACCAGTACTTCATATTGCAATTCGGTGGTCGTATCAAACATGCATTGATTTGAGATGGTTTTGCCAACACTTTTTACATTATTATCTTGATATTTAGTTTGACTTTATCCTACCTCTTAACTCAACTCTTGGACTAACAGTTGTTTAGGATTTCTCAAACTTTGCAATAGACCTGATTTCTCAATCAATTATATCCTCTAAATATGATATGTTAAAAACTTTGGTAACAAATATTCCTCACAATAATTATGGCAAGTATTGGGTTTAAAACGAACTTACACTAGCAGCTTGTAATCCGAATTCATTTACACTAAAGATTTGAATTAACTGTTTCAAACGATCAGAAGACCAAGGCAATATTGCTCGCGGTCCAACCACCATAGGGATTAATGGAAGCGCATTTGAAGAACGTAGATGAGTCTGAAAGCTTCGTTTTTGTTTGGTGCGAACAAATTCCTGAGTTGTTTGCATCACACTGGCAAGGCCAATATCAGAAACTTCTTTTTCTGGAAACGAACTTTCATCTGAACGAGTAAAAGGATTGGAGTTCGAGGTATCTGAGATAATATTTGTGTTCTGAAGTGGTTTAGAAGTGTTTTGTAATTCAGTAAGAGATGGGCTTAATTGTCTCACAAGAATCCCTCGATCTCGAATTGCCTCCTTATCTAAGCTTGAAAAATCATAAGCTAGGCAAACGTTTGGTTTATTTCCGCATAGAAATGAATGCCTACTGACTAATTTTACATCAACTGATGTTTTCGATTTGTGAAACTCAGTAGCACGCCTTGACAATGTTGATCGAGATAAGCATTCAGCCTTCTGCTTTATTGATATTCCATTATCCAGTTTAGCAGGAACGTTTAACGGTGTGTTGAAGTTTGTAGTCATGAAAGTGTGCTGACCTTAAATGATTGTAATAGAGAAAAGTAAATTCAATCAGAAACCACGCGTTCGATTAATAAAACTCCATTTCTTTAGCGTGAATCAAATAGAATACAAAGATTAAAACCTGTACCTTACAATGAATTCATTGTTTACTTCTCTGTGAAATCAAAGCCAAAAAAAGAAGTTATTTGGAAACAAAAAAGCAGGAAGTCGACAACCTATACAAACGATTATAACTGACTACGAACTAAACGTCGCAAATAAAACAGAAATGTTGTTAAGGAAATAACAAACATGTGTTAATTCCATGAACAAACACTCTTATGTATGGTCAAACAACTACACCGAGGTAAAGACAATAATTTGTTTTTCCGCATATTGGATGCTGAAATCCCTAGTTCTCGGTAATAGCGAAGTTGCTTACGACAGACGAGTAGTATAATATTAAAACAGGCCGATTTCCAATTTAAATGTTCATGAAAGATCAAAGGTGTTAGCGATCTGCAATACCTCTCAAAATCCTCGTAAAAGTTCGCGATCTTTTAAGAAAGTCCTAATCATTGTCATCAATAGGCGAGAATGCCGAACACGAAATTGATTCTCTTGAACTAAATCTTCACGTCAAAGGTTTTAAGGGTGAATTATACCAATGAAATAACTTATTTTTGTATACAAACTCGAGTAGTGCTACAATCTTCGCAAAAACCATGATAATCCAAAGTGAAGAGTACGAATTATTTGAAATCATGAAGTCAAACCTTGGTAATGATACCTACAAAATTATATTTCTGCAGTTTTATTCTTAATTAGTTTATACTCTTGCTCATCTTAATTTTATTGAGCATCTAACTTCCATCAGAAGTTCTGAATAACCTAAACAGTCTTATTTGGCTAAACGGTCGCTTCCCAAAATGTATTCCGAAACCAAACATGTTCTTTATGAACTATTACGTTCGATGTATATTCATATTATTGACACAGACTTGGCAAAAGACAGGTCTGGGCATAATCGTGAAATTATAATTAATCTATAAAAATAATGAGAGCATATTATTTTCTTAGCTCAAAATTGATTTCTAAAATGTTTTATTATCGATTTACCTACAGAGATCACTAATGTATGATGATGGGAAGTTCTAAAAACAACATGAAAAGTTTACGGTGTCTTAGTTTTGAAAATCCATCAGTTAACGTTATTTACAAGTCGAAAAGTTATCTTAGTTTATCCATGGTACGAACATTAAATAAGTTTGAACCTCCTATGAAAGACATTCTAATGTAAGTTTAGGGATTTTTTTAATGCAGACTATCTGAGCTGCAATATATTACAATTTTGCATATGAATAAAGTGAAGACGATATGTTTTACGGTGGCTAAGCTATTTTAGCTTGAGTATTTTTAATTAGTAAAGGAATGTGAGTAATAAAATAAACATTAAGAAAGTAGTATTAAAAATAACACTAACTCGAACTAGGAGAGATTGATTGTAAAGTAACTCTTTCGAACGCAAGATGATCAATCGTTTTGTCAACAGGACTATTCACTCCATCTAATTCATTTGAAGAAACAGTATCAAGTAATGGTATATCACATTCAGAAGTTAGGTGATTATTTACATGGAAATCCAGTTGGGAAGACTTAACTAAAGTTCCTTCAGACGACATATAATTAGTGCTATCATTTTCCGGACTTGTTGATAACTTAGAGACTGAGCTGTCAACCTGCTGAAGTAAAACAGATTGAAACGTTGGAAATATATATTTTGTATTACAACTAAACATTAACTGATTACAAAAACGGAAGACTTAAAGAAGTTTATGTTCCGCTATTTAACACACAAAAATTTATGTCATTCTCTAAAATGTTATTTCAGAATACTAATAATATTAGCCGATTATTGCTCGAATAACCATAGACAACGACTGCTTTGTCATTATGTATAATGTACAAATAGCACATATCCAGTAATCAGCAGATTTCTGAGACAATTGAGAAACGAAAGTCACTTAATTATTAGTCACACATGAATAACTTTCCTTGAGTCAGAAAACTAAAACTTATTGTTCATTAATTTGGATTCTAACTGGGTTTGTACTATAAATCTTAATATATTAGTTTACACTATAAGTAGAGTAAAAGGTAGATGACAAATAAAATCTAAATAAAATAGGCGACGATTGAAAACGTTTTTGTACTATTAAAATACTTGCCATAGTTTAAGCTTAATTTTCAGTGCAACTGATTAGCTAAATACACTTTTATGCACTTAGCGTTGATCCGTTGTATGAATACTAACCACACTATCAAATTTCCTAGATACAAAGAGTGTAATGGGGTTTAAATGTGAATCTCAAACTTCAGGTAGTGAAGACATTATGTAGAACCATACTCAGAAAAAATCTAGGTTTTTGTTCATGTATTTAATCGGTAACAGATATACTCGCATTGTAAGACATTCCACTTTACTGTTATTACACAATTTAATGTTCAACAGTGGTATTATATTTATGAAGGACAATCAACAGCGAATTAATGGTGATATTTATATTCCTTAGACAGAAAATCATCGACTCCATAATAAAATGAGATTGTACATACACCGTGTCATATAATCTTATTAATGAGCTAAACAAATTTAAGAGCTAGTAACTTAATCGATTTTCAGGTGCCTCAAGAAGCATCCGCTCACAGTGATGGAAACTGTGAAGCGACAACTGTTTTCATATTTCTAACAGCGCTCAAGTTAATCCTGTGTACAATCAAATCTCCACTACACTTCATAATACTTTTTCTACTTCAACTATCAACTCTCATTTTGTCTTCGACTTCTTCCACACATGTCACTAGTGTTAACGATCTTAGTTCATGAATTGCTATCTCAATTCTCCTAAGACCACTCTTCAAACTGCATATTGGAACTTTCAGTATCCAAACCTTAGGTTGATTCAGACAACAGGACTTAGCTAAGACCCGAAAACTTCGTATCATCAGTGTATGCTATCTCTCCAAAGCACGGATACAGGATCTGACCTTATGTAACCAATGCAGAGATCTAGTGAGAAACACCCTTCGTGTATCTGGGAATGTAATAGCAGCTTCTTATGACCTCCCCAGTGTACGTATAGCACTAAGTCTGAAAACAGAACAGGCAGTTCCGGATTGAATCCTTGTAGATAACTACTTATATGCTAGCCATCTAAACGGTGTAGTAAGAGAGCTCCTTCGTCGTTTCTGCCCATTCTCTCAATGGCTACAGCTTGGATGGAGTAAGAGATGAGTTTTACAGGAAGTTTGAGAAAGCTTATTCGGTCTTTAATAGATTACGTATCTAGTGAATTGTGCGCGATATCTGCTGAAGCAGCCCCATTTTAAGTTAAGGCTGTGAAAAAATAGTCTAAGAAAGTAAAGAAACAAGCATTAAAAATTTTTGGACATAGGTAGTTTTTGAACATTACTCATGTATCGTGAAACGACTGAGTGAGTAGTACTGTCTTAGGGCATAAGGTATGAGGAAAAGATGAGATTGCGAAATTTCACCAACTGAGATGGTTGGCATACACCTTACTTATAACCAACTACTGTCTACCTTGGTGAGTATTGTGTTAGGATAGTCGGGAAAATATACCAATAATTATTGTGTTAAGTCTACGGTGGCCTTGGACCTTAAATGTACATTTCTTATTGGTCGATGTTTACTTCACTTGTTAAATATTTTGTAAATGTTGTTCTCTATTTTATGGTACGATGTGGTATGCTTGATTGGTATATAAACAAAGTATGTTTGAAATATAATGATTCATAACCCAGAGGCTGTGACTTGTGTTCTTGACTCAACTGGCTGGGGCTAGACAGCGAAGCAGGGCCAATCAGGGCACTAGGTCGTCCTTACGTGTTTTCCGTGTCACTGTCACAGAAGCGATCGATAATAACTCTGCGTATCTAAAACCTGCAGTCACACACCCGTTACAACATATTGTGAGTTGATGTAGGAGAAAACTAATATTGTTCAAACCAAAATGTGGGTTCAATCGATGAAATAACTTACTGTCGGTCTAAGCAATGTTGACAGATACAGACTATCTGGTTTGGATCTATACGATAACCATGATCAATGGTTGAAGAAACTGGGTAATGTGGCTCAGAGTCAGTCACCATAGTGCATATACATTCAATCTTTACTCCAAAACTTCAGTCCTAACATCCCACTTGTTAGCGGAATATAGAGTGGACTAAAGCGCGTTCCGTGAAGGATTTTGTTGGGGCACGTTGATTGGCTACTTCTCGTCTAACCAGAGCTAGTGGACAGTTCAAGAATACTCTAGAATCTTCTCGTGTAAAAATAATAAATATACTAACGTTTTTCTTATTGTAACCCCTACTTTCATCTACCGTTGGTATTTGGAATATAATTTCGCTCCCGTTCAACCATGTTCTTATTTGGGAACTTGTCGAGTAAATCGATGTGTGTGGGCTGTAATACTGCCCGAGTGCCCAGACCGAAGCAGGTGGTTTTCTTAGGGGGCCACACCCCGAGCCTTTGACCTAAAGGTCTGATCCACAAGGCAGTGGAGCATCGTGAAGAGATGCATTCCCATGGAAGCCGGTGACCAACGATTGGTTCATACGCCATTTGTTCCCGCAGGATACTGGAGCCCATGTGCACCATTGGTTTGGAATCCGGTTAAAGCGCCGGACATTCTCTTTTCGTCCTCTCATTTTTGTAAACAACACCCCTGCCACGAGAAGGCAATGAGTAGGACTTCCCTGGCAGAGGCTGTATACGCGTGGCCGTGTGAGAGCATTTCGAGGGGGAGGGCGGGCCGACCCCACTCTCGGTCATACCAGATCATCGATGTCCAAAAATAATAAGCAATGGGAGTAGCTGTGTCGTAATAAAGAAAAATTATAACACCACTAAACATAAATAACCAGTCTGTAGTCTCGAATTATATTTCTCACTGCTCAATAATTCTCATTATCATTGCACCTACATTACTCCTAATTCCATTGGTATGCATCTTAATTTTATTATAATTGTGCCAAAGTTGGTAATTACAACTTGGCTCGATGCATATTTGTACAAGGCTTTAAGTTGATTACGGCTAGATGATCTGAAATAGGTTTCGCTTGACGACAACAAAGCCTAGCAATATAAAATTTGATAAAAGTTGTCGGTTTATTTTATTATTATTATTATTATTATTATTATTATTATTATTATTATTATTATTATTATTATTATTAAAACGATGTGCGATCCCTAAAACTGACAACACACATCACAGTGAATGAAATGAGTTTAATTAAAGGAACTACTCTTAAACAGTTGCTATTTACTTATATGATGGTAAAATGAAAACATGCTTACTTGTTCTAAATCGTTCCCCGAAACAACCATTGGGGGAAATAGATTTGGTTCAGTAACTTGATGAGAGGTCTTGGCGTCTTCATCACACAAAACTGTAACCTCAGTTTTGCACAGCCAGTGACAGGTCATGTGGCATTCTGAAGAAATAAAAATACAACATAGTTTTAAATACAGTTTGTTACGGATTAGTTTCACAATACGGTTACACTTGTTTATTTTGTACTAAAAGATACTACTTGGCTAGTTATTTTTTGGTAAGAGATAGAATGTTGGAGTTTGATTTTAGGGGTGAAAGCGGGGTTACTTGTAAAGTACAAATGTTTGGAAAACCCAAACAACACTCACTGTAAACTTACGCTTTTAGAAATGAATTCAAAAGGCAAACAAAGTGATGTAACAAGACTTTCATGTTAGCAAGGTGTATGAAAAAAGGATGTCAAATAAGATGCAGATAGAAAACTGTGTACTTACGTCTTGTGCAAGCTCACACAAGCTAAAAAAACACGGACAGTCAGTTAGTCATACCGTTTTTTCACTAATCTAAATTAAAGTTGTGATGCATTCCACGTGGTGTCAAATGACTGAGATTAACTTACAACACACTCAAGATATAATACTCGTACCTATTGACACCTATCAGTAAGATATGAGTGCATTTGTACGACATTCCTTTCTCTTGATCTTAAATACCCAGTGATCCGGACCAAAAATATTAGCTTAGTCATGGTTTGGTCATGCAATTCTTTAAAATATCTGCTAATACGGAAACAGGAAAGCGGTTAAGTAATCAGTTAGTATTTCCTCTAGTCTAAAAATAACAATTATTAATACCCATTATGCTGCCACTTAGGTATGAAATAATCGAAGACAGATTTATTCATCTTATTTTTTATTACTATTTACTTTCTTGAAGGGAACTTGAGGTGACGAATTTACGTATGCATTCGTCATGTTTACTGAAATTTCCCGATCCCGTAGTCATCCGGTTTGTAAAGGTCTTATAAAACGACGAATAAACACAACTTCTATTTTATTCATACCACTCTTCACGTTCACCAAGGAAAAAGGTCGACAAAAGGCCACTTCGGTGAAACGTTTCTTTTTATGCTCTTTCTAATAAAATTTATATTATGAGGTGTTAAACTTCAGCATTACATACACAGCATTTTTAAAAGCCGAATCAGTAGTGTACAGTTATCACTTCCTGAATGTCCCTATCATTTGATTTTGAGGTATCTGAGGAGGAAGCAGGGTTAGTGTTGGTATCGGAAACCTGGGAGGGTAACCGGATAACATTACGGATAACTGTTTACGGCCGATAACACACACTTCTCTCGTGAGTAGTACCTTATTTATTAGCTCCATACATTTTAAACCTTAAAGCTAGAATCAAGTATAACACACTAACATTTACTATGCCATACAGTTGGAAGTATAGCCTTGTCCTCGAACCTTAGGTTCATTATTGAAATCTTGCTGCTATCCGACTATTATGGTGGTGACGAGATGGGATAATCCGACACAGGCCAAATGAAAAGTGATTTATGTTGATAGTTTTAACTTACTGAGACAGATATACCCTAGTGCTTAAAAATATAACTTTATTTCATAAGAGATATAGGTATATATTTGTGGATAAGTTTTGAACGTTCTTTCGACTCAGCTACCGGATATAAGCTTCCTACTCATTCTTGGTTTTATCAATCAAGTAGCTGGTTTGGACGCGCATTTAAGAAACTTGTATACCATTATCAGACCGACTACCAAATAACATAGCCAGATATATAAAAAACTAGGGCTACACTATAATTTATGGACGGGCCAATCAGATATAAGATAACGAGTCACGAATTTTGGTCGTTACAGTTCTCAAACGAACAGTAATTACTAGTGACAAACACTGAAATGCCTGGCAAGCGCAACAAGACTAACGGAAACAAGGTGTTGGGTCATGAAGAAATGTAGTCAGATGCGCCTCCTGATATACGGCAAGTCCCTTTTGATACATCTTCACGTCATGGCTCTAATACTAGTTTAGTAATTAAGCACAGCAAAATTAACTCTAGCATCACCCTAGCAGAGTTAAAAGAAAAGCAGCTGGGGGAAAGACAACTATTAGAGATTTGAGATTTGAAAGACAGGCAGAGGAAGCAGCTGTTGTGCCTTCATAGAGAGTTAGGGTCGTTAAGGCTACAAGAGAACATATGTAGTAAAGTATCTTCTGCCTCCAATTGTGACGACAGAGAACAGGAGTATGTTCACAGTTTCGTAAGCCGTTCTCATGACTTCAGAATAAAGTCCCCAGGAAAGTCAAAACTGTTAGATTGTCCAGGAACGAAGAAGAAGAAGGAAGTGACCTTGGCATCTCTAAGTGTGGGTCTTGAGCTCCCAAAAGTAGAACTAAGTACTTTTGATGGGCAACCAGCCAAATACTGAAAATTTATCAGACAATTCGAGTTATATGTGGTATCCAAGGTCGAAGACGATGGTCAACGGCTCTTGTTACATTATTTTAAAGGAAAGGCTCGAGAGGCCATAAAAGAATGCATAATGCTTCCACCATCATCGGGTTATCGTATAGCATGCGATATACTGAAACAGTTGTTTGGCAGAACACACGAAGTAAGTCGGGCTTTGCTGAAAGGTTTGACTGAAGGTCCCGATATTGCGCATAATGACAGAGAAAGTCTGTCTACGCTAGCTATAAAAATGGAAAACTGTTCTATAGCTTTAGAGCAAATGGATTACTCAGCGGATCTCAACATTGTAGTAACTATAGAAAGTATAATAAAGAGGTTGCCCACGGCTTTACATATGAAATGGGCTGAAACAGTCGGAAAGGTAACAGCAAATGGGAGAGAACCCACTTTTGCCGAGTTAACATAATTTGTATCATCTAGAGCAGAAATTTTACTCAGCAGATTCGGGCAGATTGCAACAGCTAGTGAACGAGTTGTAAGCAAGGTAGCCTGTTCCACACAAGAGTTGTCGTAAATTTTTAGCAACTCACCTTGTGTTATATGCGGAGAAAATCATGGGATTGATAAGTGTTCCCAGTTCCCTACATTGGCAGTCAACGGTAAGTGGACGAAAGCGAGAGAAAAGGGTTTGTGTTTTTGCTGTCTTAGAAGGGGCCACAGATCAGTGGATTGTAAAGATAGTGTTGTGTTTACTATCGAAGGTTGCCGGGATCGACATTACCCACTGTTGCATAAACCCATTAAAGTTCAAAGTGCTTCGAGTGAGTATTTTGAAGAAAGTCGTTGTACACAGAGTCACTAAAAGAGGATGTGTTTCTTGGTTTAATCCCTGTACGCCTTAGAGCTGGGGATAAGGAAGTTTGTGGATATGCGTTTCTAGACAATGGCTCAGATACAACCCTAATCAAGTCAAGTATCGTATGACTTTTAGGTTTATCGTCAGAGAGTGCATCGATTACTATCATAACAGTAAACGGAAATAAGTTAGCCAGATCGACAACCAAAGCTTTTGAAGCCTACTCATTAAACGGAAACGAATGTATATGTATTGAACAAGCTGTTGTATTAGATGATTTGCCAGTGCATAGACCAATAGAACCTGTGAAGGACAGTTCTAAAAACTGGCCCCATCTTATGGACTTACCTTGGCCAGAGTTAGTGGGTGGCGAAGTTATGTTGCTTATTGGTTGTGACGTGCCTGAAGCGCATTGGGTCCTGAACCAAAGGTTAGGTGGAAAAAAGTCCTTATGCTGTTAGGACACTGCTAGGATGGGTTCTTTTTGGACCAGCAGGTCACAACAAACATGGGGAAAGGATTGTAAATTGTTTCTCAAACTGATGACCCTGTGGAGCATAACCCTGAGTTTGCTGACGACTATTCCTCTGATAAATCATTATCTCTGAATGATTCAAACGTAAATGGCATAGGAGAGCGCGATACTTACTTCGATGAAAGTTACGAAGTGTTATTTTACCAAGAGGAGTGGCTGAGGAAGACATTGCAGTCCCTGTTATTGGCAATGGGTCTGGTATGTGTAAAGCTGGCTTCACCGAAGATGATGCTCCCAGAGCCGTATTCCCCTCTATTGCTGGAACAACTAGACATCAAGGAGTGATGGTGGGAATGGATCAAAAGGACAGTTATGTGGGAGACGATGCTCAATCGAAACGTGGTATCCTGTCACTGAAGTACCAAATTGAACATGGTATTATGACTAGGTGGGGTGATATGGAGATATGGTACCATGCATTCTACAACGAGTTGCGAGTGGCAACAGAGGAACATCGTGTTGTTGACGGAAGCTTCATTGAACCCGAAAACAAACCGTAAGATGGCACAGGTCATGTTTGAGACGTTTTATACTACAGCTATGCATGTTGCTATCCAAGTGGTGTTGTTACTGTATGCATCTGGTCGTACAACTGGTAAAGTGTGGGACTCAGGTGAGGCTATGACCCACACAGTTCCGATTTATGAAGGTTATGCATTGCCTTATGCTCTTTTGCGTCTGGACCTTGCTGGTAGAGACCTTACCGACTTTGTGATAGTCTCTAACTGAGACAGGTTGCAGTCTCTCTGTCTATTCGTGGAACATATTCAGGCGCAAACCTCCAGACGTTTTGCTTTATAGTAAGTTATTAGTCTTGGTGAGAAAAGGAACATATAAGGAAGCTGCGGATGCTTTGGTTTCTGGAGGTGGTCGGATAGCAGCAGACCATAGCTTAGGTTTATGGATGTACAGGCGTACTGTTGTAAGTCCTGTGCTTCCCAATGATATAGAGCAGTTAGTAAAGAGAGCCATGACAGGGATGTATTTAAAGGTGTATTTGCGTAGCTGGAGGGATTATGGGGCCGGTGTAACGGAAAGAGGACGATAAAAATCCCTGCACAGCTTTTCGTTGGACAGTACTGTCCTGCGTTCAAACCGAATACTGGCAGTTCGGTCGTTACAACTCATCAATACGTTTGGCTTAATACAGTTTTGGCATTATAGCTGAAGTTAATTGCTGATGAAAACCCTAAATCTAATTTTTAACCCTAATCACCAAACGTAAATGAGAATTTTAACTGCTTTATAACCCTCTTTTAGTCCTAATCAGTAGGTGTCTACCCTCAGAGTCACTTCAGCGTCGCTCAAAGGTCGTCCGTAAATTATAGTCTCACCGAAACTAGTTCGGGTGTAATCCAATCGTATTAGAGTGCATGGCTGATCACACTGAACAAACGCAAACAAGTGTACAGAAACATAAGTAGAGGTGTTCAGTGGTACAGGAGACTATGTATCAAGGTGTATATACACCAAGGTGTTACGAGCAATGTTTCGAAGACACCTATGATCGTAGGTTACTAGTATTTGATCATAGGTGTCTTTGAAACATTGCTCGTATATAATGGGACCATCGAGTAAGTAACACAGTTGTTAGGAAACGGGTACTAGGTAAGGATGGCAAATCGATTGATGAAGTAGTGAAACTTCATCAGTTGAGATAGCTGGGACACGTGTTACGTATGCCCAACGACCGACTACCTCGACGTGCTATGTTCAGTGGTATAGGAGTAGGTTGGAAGAAAGCTAGGGGCGGCCAAACCAAAACATGGCACAAGTCCATGAAGTCACTGACAAGTAGACTAAGTCATGTTGGTAGGTGTAGACTACCTGGTTGGGGACCGCGAGATGATAGCAATCGATGGTTAGAGACCCTGAATGACATGGCTCAAAATCGTTTGCAATGGCGCAGGTGCATCCACTCTCTGTGTTCTCCCAAACTCTAATCTCTGAATTCTTCATGTCCCTTTTTTCCTCTTTCCAAATTTATTTCACTGGATTATACTCTTTAAATAACATCTCCAAACCCTAATCTTCCCGATTACTGCTTATACTCTTATTACCTCTACCACTACGGGATTTGAATCGACAACTGCATCTCTGTGCTAATGTGGTGTGGCAACTCGAACTGATGTACGTACGTACGAAGTTCTACGTTGTTACTGACTGACTGACTGACTACGATAATTTGACAATTGAAACAGGCAATAACAGTTTTCTTCACAATAACTGACTATTCAGGGGAAACCCATAAAGTAAGGTGTGTGCCGTTCAAGCCGCTTTTATGTATTGATTAACTGTAGGACATCTTAATAAATTATGAGAACTCACTTGCACACTTTAAGCAGACTGGACGCCAACCGAATTCCCAAATAGGTTGGTTGCAATGATCACAAAAGGTATCACCATCAAGTGGGACGGGACAAAACAAATGACCATTACTTGAAGTTTCTTTTGTAGAGTATATTTTATCAGCACACATTAGGTCAAGTTCGATCGCCTCTGGACCAAGCTTGGAATACAAATGCGACTGAATGCGATTTCCAGCTAGATCAAGCGAATCAGATAAGGTTAACCGCTTGAAACTAAGGCGAGGACCATGTTCATTGTTTTTATTGTAGTCTTCCATGTGAACAACACTATTCTTAGGCATTGGACTAGGATAATGTCCGTTTACATGAACACTTCCATGTGAACATGTTGTTTGTAAAGGATCAGAAGGACTTGAATCATTGTTCATCCTTAGAAAGCTAATAAATGCCTTTTTAACCTCTAACATCATTTCCAATAAATATGGTCCAATCATAAACTAGACATTTAGAGAAAAATCTTGGTGCCAGAGTACCGCACCTAAGTAGACAAGGCGCATCGCAATCCTTCGATGTTCAGTTATTATGTAATTCTTATTACGGAGTATCAGGAGTAACAGACTGGCCTGAACTTGATAGTTATTCTCAATAGATATCTCTGCTTTTTCCAGGTCCTTCTTAAAGTGTACAGTGGTGTTATCCATGCCATCGATGATATTATTTGTGTGGGAAGCCTTTGTAGCGGTAAATAAAACCCCGGAGTAAATAGACTCGTAACTCTTCGATTTGTGATGCTGGCCGCATTAGTTTAACCGCAATCGACCAGCTGAAGGCACTCGGCTACGTATACGTACCAGATCACGAGTGGGTACGCCGTGCTACACATCCCCTTCAAGGTTCCTCGGCATACCGACAGCCTTTTAAATATATCTTAGAACGCCTTTCTTTCTGTCTTCTGAGTTTATTGGATTGGAATTCTTCGAATATAATGGTATCACTTGTTGAGGTGTTGTCAAACTCTGAATACCTGCGGTGATAACCACGAAACCTCTTTAATTTAGTACACTTGGTTGCCAAATAATTCAATTTAGTCATAGAGATACCACAACGCTTTTGCCAGTAACAACTTTGTATTCGAAGTATGAAAATCCAGTCAACTCAGAGGACAGAAATAAAGGCGTTCGAAGATATATTTAAAAGGCTGTCGGTATGCCGAGGAACGTTGAAGGGGATGAGTAGCACGGCGTACCCACTCGTGATCTGGTGCGTATACGTAGCCGAGTGCCTTCAGCTAGGTGAGTGCAGTAAAACCGATGAGGTCAGCATCAAATGTCGAAGACTTACAGAACTATTTTTACGCGACTTGTTCATCAGTACACAGAGTGCGGACATATTTACTAAAATCGGCTTGACCCGGTCCTATTAAAACATCAAAGCAGCCAAGAAAACATCCTTTAGGTAGCTAATACTACATATATTAGACTGCTTGGGTTTGTACGCACGCCGTTTGGCCTGAGGAATGCCACAGAAACACTACAACTATTTGTGGACAGCTTACTTTGCTACGTGTCATTTTGCACAGAGGTTGTAAGCCGCGATCCATAAACAAGCCCATCAATGACAACATTAAACATCCACTGCTGCATTAACTCCCTCTGACCCCGTATGAGTAGACCTTCATTAATCACTATGTTTATTACAAATGACATTAGGTTTGTTGACTGGTTTTTGCTATCCTCTGGTTACTGTTTCGTATGTTATTTATGTGTCTATTTTTCCCCATTTAGTAGACTGCAATAGCTGTTTGTTTGTAAACCAACGGCGTCAATTTACGTTCGAGGAAAGGATAAGGCTCATCAAGCCACACAGGTCACTTGTTCTGACTTTGGTCAAGCTAAGGCTCTGTACTCAACAGTCTAGGGAATATTCTGGAATTGCATCTGTGAGAAATTACTTCCCGCAAAATTCCGGTTGGTGAATTCGATATAACTACCGAAATTGCTTCCAGCAAGTGCTATGATTCTTATGAGATTCCGGAGTTGTGACCTCATGGTCTGGAAGATTATGGCAAGGACCATTTTGAAAGGGATAAACACAAAACCAATAACCTGATACAGGTGGAGTTAGTCAGATAACGTGTAAACCAATTGTGGAAAGAAATCGAACAAGAAAATGATACGTCGTTAAGGAAATGAAGGTCTCTAAAAATTGACAAGTAACAGCGAGAATGCAATATTAAAAAATCTGTATTTACTAAAGAAAGAAACCTCCGGATACTATGGTACACTGACGAATTATTGGAATTTTACTAGAAAGTTCAAAGAATGCATCGAGAGTGAATATTGAAACTATGGTCCTGAAACTACTGACGTACGTTCAACAAGAATGGATTAAGGTAGCAGATCATTTAGAGTGATCAAAGAGTCATTGTTTAGATCAGTGCCAGAAGTTAAAGGTAGTGGTCTTAAAGAAAGAAGAGAAATTGTACTTAGGTGCAAGTTATGTAATGTTTGTCTGAAGTCGAATCATGTAGCAAACATCTGTCGGTCACAAGAAGCATGTTCGGTTGAAGGGTGAGATTGGTGGCATCGTACTCTGCTTCACATGAAGCAGAAGGAACGGACAATCACTGTTAAGAGTGCATACTTAGTTTTTACTTAGATTTAACCAGTGGCCTCACTCCTAAAAACGTTTTCAGGTAGTAATCTTAACATTGTTGTATGTAGCATTAATATAAAAACCACAACCAGTAGACACAAAACTGTAACACTTCGTAGAATCTATCACAATATCGATTGAAAAAACTTACAAAATTAACTAAGAAGCACTGATTGGGGAACCTTCTTTACACTAAACAATACGGACACACAAACTAAAATATCCGATCAAAACATCATAAGTATCTTCAACAAAATTGCACCTTTAGAAAATCAGAAACCGAAGTTTTCCAAAGACCTGTATATGCCGGTCTCTATGCGAAGACGTCTTCAAGGACATTGTACTCGAGTCCACAACCTTAATGATTTTTCCTCATTAGTTACGATAACAAAAATGTGTCCAGACAGAAGCAATGCGTACACAAAATTACTCGTGCGGGTAAAACGTGCTATCGAACCTAATGATGACTTCTCCGCACTTATCAAACTCCTTCAAAGTAAACCTAAATGTAGTTAAGGCGTCGGTGACGACGGTGACGCCATCGTTGTTTTTTCACGGTCAGATGCACGTTTTGACCATGTTCATATCAGTTTGGTGGGTTCTTCCTTGCGTTCCAATGGTTTTAGTTATCTATTTACACGCGTAGACAGATTCACAGAGTTTCCAATAGCCAAAACTGATAGCAAACATCACAGCTGAAACAATGGCTAAAGTTTTCACTCAGAATTGAGGAACCATTTTTGGTGCATTTATTGCAATGACGACAGACAGATGAGCCCAATATGCATTTGAGTTATTCAACAACTTTCAAGTTTCAAGCGAATACGCAGCACTTCATATCATTCTCAAGATAATGGGATGGTAGAACATTTACATCGTCATTTGGAGGCTACCCTAACCCTACACTCAAACGCCAATCAGTGGATAGAATTTCTTATGTTGGAAATAGGGACAACTGTCAATACTGATTCATCAGCGAAACTAGTCTTCGGAACGACTCAAAGACTACCAGGCGAGTTTATTGATCCTCGTACTCAAAGAAAGAGCTTGACTTAGAAATTTACGTGTAACAACAATGGGACCAAATGTTCACATTCAAACTAATTAGTGCTCGTGAACAATAGTAAGTAAATATGTGTAGTTGTATTGGACCCTAACCACATAAACCTCGAAGCTGAACAGGAGACAACTGTGGAAATAGATATTATTATTATTGTTATTCACAAACATCTTATGGGTACATAGGTGTTGTGAAGAAACCATTTCAAGTTTCTTCAAAAATGCAATAATACACAAGTTTCAATAATATTAGCATTATATTCGCCATATTTGATAAAAGAGAGTAATAATAATTGAATAATAATAATAACTCACATTCTGTGTAATTGAGAGAAATATTGAATTGAGCTTCAAGAAGTTAAGGAAAAAAATAAGGGAATAGAAATAAAGGAGACGTGAAATACGCAAATAGATTAATAGGCGTGTTTATGAACACACAACAAGAATAATCGAACGTGTATGTATCGTCAAATTAATAACAAAAATAAAATAGAAAATTATTAAGAAAAAATAACTTATTATTGCAGTAAGAGACGACGCTAGAACGAATGTTTGTGCAGTCATCGTTTGGAGTGATGTTATGGAAGTCTCAATTAAGTAAAAAGGATAAAGAAATATCAATATGTATGAGTCATATATGCATTGTGAAGATAAAACGAGTCTGAGAAGTTAATTTACATGTAACACAAGTTATTGCCTTAATTACAATCTTCGTAATCTTAAGAATAATATTTATTTAGAAGGAAAAAAGAGAGAAAAGAAATGGACACCTAGTGGAAGGGTTAAACCATGATAATAATAGTAATTGTGTAATGAATATAGACCTCTAAAGTAAACCAACAATTTAGAAAAATAAAATAAATCCTTTAGTGCGCTCGGATAAATACATGTAGATTTATGTAATAGTATACAAAGTGAAACCGGATATTAGTATAAACATTTGTGCAATAACAATTAAGAATGATGCCATGAAGATCAATAACGATATTAATAACAGCAATAATTATATAGATGTCATTACCAAGGCTTGATTTGATAATTTCGAATAAATTGAGCATCGGGTTGATTGTTATAAATAAAAATAATATATTTATAGCAATAATTATAGTTACGAACATCAGCAGACTTCATATATTAGTATGAATAGAAATTAAATAAAATAGACGTGAAAAGTTTCAAAGGTTACATTTCGCTTTTCAGTCAATTAGATGGATGACGGATCTTGTTTGCATAAATCATGATTAAATACTTTGATATCCATTAGGGGACATAATCCAATTTCGGAAAGAAAATCACCAACGAGACTTCTGAACCGGGCTGTAGTTTCACTGCAACGGAGGTCCACTGGCAGTCTGCTCCACATGGTTGAGTAGGGAATAACGAAAAAATTCTGGTGTAAATTTGTGTGGGTTCTTGGAATCACTAGAATATTCTCCTTATTGCGTGGATTGTGGAGTGACATCATAGAGTATGAAGGGGTGGAAACCGAAGAGTAGTAAATGCTGTTAATAAGCCGATAGATAAAGACATGGTTTAATTTGATACGTCTGATCCAGAGAGGTTCATACTTGAGTTGTTGACATCTTTGTTGATATTCTTTGTTGTTGATATACCCCCAAACAGCTTTGGTGAACCTTCTTTGAACACCTTCAATTTTAATCAGGTCATTATGCATGCAATTGCTGCAAACTAAAATACCCAATTCAAGAATGGGTAAGATGCATATTTTGTATAATAATAATAATCTCGATTCGGTATTTTTGAAGTTTATCATTAATGAGCTTCCTAGTTTTGTATACTTGTGTAAGATACATTTTGAAGGTTTTATGTGTTGGTGAAAA